CTCCCTGTTTTTACCACTAAAACGGGTCGGAATGGCCCCATATACCATACATGACTTCATATACGATCAACCTTCACTACCTTGAGGTCTGTTTTGCTGTTGGGCAGCTGTGAGGTCATGTGACGTCATCAAAGGTCACCAAAGGTTTTTTGCCAATAACTCCGTACAGGAACAAGGTACAGCCGCGCGGATGGTCTCATTGTGTTCAGCTCGTCAAGACGCATCGAATGATATACATGATGACCTCGAGGTCACGTGACCTGAGGTCAACCTTTGATCTTGACCTTTCGAGGTCAACATATATATATATATCATTCGATGCGGATAGACGAGAGGATCACGATGGTGCCCTTAGTTTGTTCCTATCTTTACTAGTTCAAAAGTTATTCGAGAAAAACTCTCTCCATATCTAGCGCCGCCATTTTGAATTTTTTGACCCCTGTGACGTCATCTTTGACCTGGCCTGAAAATGATCTTTGTAAAAATTGTAGACCTTGTCCGTGCGTATCCGATGCCGTTTACCGCTTGTCGCTATTTTGCTTCGTTCTCGAGATCTCAGGGGGGGGGGGGGCGGTCATCCGCCCCCCCCCCGTCGGTACGAAGTTGGCGGAGACCCCCGTCGGTGCGTGGGTTAAAGCTGGTGTTTGAACAATCTTTTACCAAAGGTCGACATATGTATCATGCGATGCACCTTAACGAGCTAAACATGATGAGACCATTCGCGTGGCTGTATTATGCTCCTGTGAGGAGTTATTAGCAAAACAACTTATATCGAGGTGACCCTTGATGACGTCACATGACTTTACAGTTGCGCAAGAGCAAAAAAGGCCTCAAGGTAGTCAACGTTGATGGTATATAAAGTCATTCTTGGTATATTGGGCCATTCCGACGCGTTTAGTAAAAAAACAAAAAAAAAACAGGGAGCTGAATTTTACCTTATTGACTTATAATGGGGAGGTAAAAAAATTGACCTGACCTTAGGTCATCGATATCAAAATTCCGAGATAAAAATTGTAGCTACTAAAACCTTCGCCCCAGTGGGGGGGGGGCATATGTTACCACCCTGTCGCGTTTTTTTGCGTGTGAATAAAAAACCGCGGCGCGTAGCGCCGCGCCGCTTGGGGTAGCTTTTGGTACATCAACTTTGGACAATGTGTGAAACTTTTGACCCCAGGTCATGTCAGGTCAGGTCACCAGGTCAAGTTAACTGACCAAGCCTAAAAAAAGTTTGCAATCATGTCCAGCCTGGAGTGTTTGTGAGAAAGGTTTTAAACTTGGTGGATTGCATGCTGTTATGGGCGCCTACAATTTGTATATCTCGGATTTCTTATATCCGTGACCTAAGGTTAGGTCAGTGGCGTGACCTTTCCATTACAAGTCAATGGAGAAAAATGAAAATACCTCTATATACGTGTGTACGCATAGGAACAGTCCAAATATTTCAGAATCACAATGATTTAGTCCACTCGTGATGACCAAGGTGTCGTTTTTGCTGGTAGCCTCTAGAAAAGTCATCCGAGGTCATTTGAGGCTACAAACAGTTTTTTTGCCAATAACTCGCGATTGGAAAGAGATAGAACGCTGGGGATGGTCTCATTGTGCTTGTCTTGTTGAGACGCATCGACTGATATGCAACATGACCTTTTTCGGTCAGGTCATGACCTTGACCTGAGGTTAAATTTTCAAGTTGACCTTTCAAGGTCAAATTATAATTGATTCAACGCGTCTCGGCGAGGGGAACACGATTCTGGCAATAGAAATGTCGTGGCTTTTTGTAGTCGAAAGTTATTGCCGAAAGACACTTTTCGTAAAAAAAGCTATTTTTGGAGTTTTTGCCCTCTGGAGGCTAAACCGTTGACCTGAGGTGAATATTGATAATGACCATTTCAAAAGAAGAGCTCAAAAACTATCGATTGCTCTTCCATGCGTTTTTCTAGCTACCATAGTTCCTGAGATAGCGGCATGTTTTCTGAAAAATATTATGACAATTGGCAAATTTTGACCTTTGATGACATCTGGTGACCCCAGTATTGCTCTAAGGTGAAAAATGACCGAAATACTTTCAAACATACGCATTGAGAGCTATCGACTGCTGTTTACCGCGTCTTTCTAACCCTCTTAGTTTTTGAGTTAGAGGTGGGTGGTAACATATGCCCCCCAAAAACAAAGTGAAAAACAAAAAACAAAGTGATTTGAGGCTGGGTCATTCGAAGTGACCTGGTGACCTTACCTAAGTTAACCCGGAAGGCGGTGGGCCTCCCGGCCACCTTCCGCGCGGTGGGGGGGGGGATTTTTTGCCCCCCCCGTGTCTCCGAAACTACTGGACGGATCCGGAAAATTCAAACGGCGCTCGATAGCCCTGTCAAATTTGTTGAAGGAAACCAAATTTCATTGACCTCGGGGTCACCGACGACGTCACAGGTCAGGTCAAAGATAAAATGTTTCACCGTTCACGGGGCTTCTAGGGGAAGCGCTATAACACCGAGTAAAACGCATTTTGTCGAAAATCAGCGATAGGGCGTCAGTTGTCTAGTACATATGTTGCTATTAGAGGTCACTGGTCATACCAGGTCAGGTCACAGGTCAGGTCACCAGAGGTCACCAAGGGTCACCACATGAACCCAACTTTACTAAGGTTGTGCGATGCATATTTTATGACCAGTTTTTCATTTCCAACTCAATGGTGTTGGTTATAAGACCATCAGGTACGGCTTAGGTCACTTTCTGGTTGAGGTCAGGTAAAGGTCAGTCAAAAAGGTCAAATTAAAGTTGATATTTTTGCATAAAATGGGTAATGATTCGATGCAGCTCGTCACGGGGAGTCTAATGGTGGTCTTTGTTTTGCGCTACGAGGTCTATAATTGTTAAAAATTGATTTTAAAAATTTGACGTCATCAATTTTGAACAGTTTTTTCGCTATAACTTGGCCAAAAAAAGAGGTATCGATCTCAAATTTGGTATGTAGATAGAAAGCGGTAGGGACTATCACATACTTTCCGGTTTTTTTGAAATTCAAATTTTTTTTGTATTTTTCGGCTATTATACTCAAAACATCTTTTTTTTATTTTTGGGGGTCAAAATCCAAAAATTTCAAAAATCCAGGATAGCAGTTCTGTAGTTCTCTAAATTCTACACCTTTTATTTTGAAACATTTTTTCTGTATCTCTAAAGCTGTAGGCCTGACAGCTCTTCTCGCGAAACCTTTTTTGGGTCGAAAATGGCAGAAATGACGTCACTCTGACGTCATTAGTGTCCAACTTATCATAGCCTTTGGAAAAAAATTTTGGTCACAATGTGCAATAGCTGTTCACGGGAGGGTACCGAAAGTTTGGTGACGATCGGCGCAGCGGTTCTCGAGATATATCGAAATCTCTAAAGGGGGGCGCCAAAAATGCCCCACCCACCGCCTGGAAGGTTAAGAGGTTCAAACTTGCACACCATGTTTAAAATTAATGAGGAAAAAGTCATGCAATATTTCGCGGCGCTACGCGCCGCGGTGTTTGCGCTATTCATGTAAAACATCAGGGGGAGGGGGTGGTCAACCGCCCCCTCGTCGTTGCGCGGGTTAAGTTGACCTTTTAAGGTCAAATTACAATTCATTCGATGCGTCTTGAGAGGAACATGATACCAGTAACAGTAAGCTCGTGCACGGTTTGAGTCAAAAGTTTTTACAGAAAAACTGTTCGGCAAAATAGTTATTTTGGCAGTTTTTGCCCCCTGTAGGAAAAACCGTTGAAGCTGGGTCCAATAAGAGAGATATTCAGCTAGAGCGTTACAGGGCTATCTAATGCCCTTTTCTGGGGCGCTGTAGCTCTATTGGTTTCCGAGTTCTGCGCCAATTTGTAGAAAACTCTCGACATTCGATCTGAAAATAGACGAAGTTTGGCATTCAATGACCTGTGGTGACCTGGTATTTGGTCTGACCAAAAATGTGAGCGAAATATTATCGTTATTATTTTTGACGTTCTTTCGAACGCCGCCTTCCCCATATCGCTACCTAGCCTAGGACCCGAGTTAGAAGGGAGTGTTCAAACACTCCCCCCCCCCCCCCACCTCCTCCAGCGGGGCGTGGAACTCCAGCCCCCTAGCGGGGCGCGGGTTAAACTACGTGCGAAACACATCGGATTGGTCTCGTGCACGAACCACCAAAATTGTGTTCGAGAATGTTCACGTTTTTTTGCGTGCAGCTTTCGAAATGGGTACTAACATAATTCAGTCTCTGAATATGTGCTCATTTGATCGCTGGTATAACACCACGGGGTTACTAGGTCATGAGAGCAGGTCGCAAGGGCACTATGATTGCAAAAGTGATCATTTGCATTTCCATAAATTCGTCACGACCTGATAAATGACGATGGATTTGCAATACATCGAACCAAAAGCTGATAATGGGACCATCAACCGAATGCCGTCAGTAATCTATAACTTTCCAGAAGCTAAACATAGTTTAGTTCAATAGAAAGTTAATCTGCCCCCAGTGTTCATGGTGTCGGAAAAATATCATTTTCATGTTTAACAAAGTTCATGGATAATCACTATGCTTATAGCCGCTTGTTGTTCAATAAATAAGAAAGCGACCCCTGCACTCGATGCTGTCGGTATTTAAACAAGAATGGCACTAAAATACACCTACATTTGATGTCTGTACTCGATATCTTGGACGGAAAACATAATCTTGAGCCATGCCCGTAAAAAAAAAACACAATAAGTACCAGCATCAGAAATGTCAAAGACAATCAACTGACCAACACATGTGTACAATTTGAAGTGTGTTTGATACATTATTCATCATGAGCAGACGTCTCCAACAGGTGATCACGCCAGTGATTAGCCTGCGCACCTCCTCCACCGAATACGACTTCTAACCTAAAACTAATAAGTTGACACCACCCTTTCCGGGTCACTCGGGGCGCCGCCCAGTGACCCGGTATGTCCCGGAGACTACGAGGCCGGCCAGCCGCCCCAGCCACGGCGGCGGCGGCGGCGGCGGCGGCGGCGGCGGCCAGTGAAGGGAGAGACGGCGACCGAGCTGCACGGGTCCGCGCCCTCTCCGTCGGGTCGATCGCTGTGCTCGGAGACAGAGCTGCGCGAGCTAGAGAGGCCGAGTGGAGTGTGGGTAGAGCAGTGGGAGCAGCCGCAGGCCGCCTCCAGGCAGAGTCGGCCAGTCAGTCACCATGGTGAGTAGAGTACCGACCTGGTCGCGGAGAGACTGTCAGAAACTGGGTCATCTCAGGCCGGTCAGCGGCTCACAGGTCTCTCCAGACGCGACCTTATGACCCGCCGCTGCCAGTACTGGGACAGGATTATTTCGTACAAGGAAAAACTTGATTTATCTATTCACTGAAGCTATGGTGAAATGTGCGCACGTCACAGTCACAGCTTGATTAAAGTTCAATAGATTGACCTGATTTGTGTAAAGCATTTTATCAGATGGCAGCATCTTGTCATCTTATTTGACTTCTTCCACGCAGATCCTTGGCCCAGATCTCAATCACCAAACCATTATAGTTTGCCGTCTATTCAATGATGTGTCAGTCGGCTCACTATTCAGGCACCCTGACCTGAGTCCGAGAATTGAAACCCAGGTGACACCGGCTCTCCCAAAGTCCCAACACTACCCGCCGCGGCCAGCGACGGGTGTTTCAACACCATCGTATTGCCGAACCGGGCCGGTCGCCGGGCCGGCGGCGGCACTCCCCGCTCCTCCACCGCTGGCTCCCTGCTCCCCTCCCCCGCCCCCGCCCCGCCCCCGCCCCCGCCCCCGCCCCCGCCCCCGCCGCGGCCTGGCCTCGCCCTGAGGCACGCCAAAGAACGGTTCCAATCTCTTGAATAGCCTTCAGTTGGCGAAAAACGTCGGGAACGGGGGCAGACAATGTAACGATTGCGACAATTTCAAGGGTAGATTCCGTGAGCAGGTAATCGGTTCGCATTGTTCTGGCCCAGGTAACTGACGTTCGATGACACAGTAATTGCAGCGGAGATTGTCGCAGAAGACCATTGCTTCCATTGAACACCTAAAGATACCTGTTTGCAACGATATAAATCCAGTCTATATCACAGGACGCGTGGCTGCGCCTGTTTGCAACGATATAAATCCAGTCTATATCACAGGACGCGTGGCTGCGCCTGTTTGCAACGATATAAATCCAGTCTATATCACAGGACGCGTGGCTGCGTAACCTAAAAGTTTTTCAGCCACTGTTACCATTACCATGCTTCATCTACTTTCAGATATCTCAGCCGCAATAACCAAGTGAGCGATTGAGCGTGTCCGCAGCGTGGTCGGTCGCTTTTTCGCTCTGGTCGCAGATACCCAGCGACCGGCTGGGAAAGTTGGACGGACAGCGCCCTTCAGTGGACACCGTGCAATGGCTCGGACATTCACCGCGGCCTAGAAAAATGCCACCGGGTTCTGCAACTCGGCCCGGAAAACACCATCTCCTCCCCCCCCCCCCCCCCGGCACGCAGGGTCGGAGTTCGATTGTTCTCACTGCATAAATCTGATGGACCTTGGAGAGCCTTCCGGGCGGCGCAGTCCAGCAAGGCCTAAGGAATGGCTTTGTGTCACAAAACTTTTCTGGATGTTCTTCTGAGAGCTTTTTATCATGTTTTTACAAGTCATAATGACGTTCACGGCCCTGATTCTGGAGCGTCCCATGCTCCACATCTACACTATGGAGCCTTTGTGGACTGGCCATTATGCACCGTTCTTCTCCCAGGCGCGCCCTAAACCCAGATAAGTGGCTAACCTTGGGATCATTTTTCCAGCCGCGCTGCGAGCCTGCAGACAGAAAGATATGAGGCCATGTCACGATCGCTTGGTCACGTCTGAAGGAGAGCCAGAGATTGGCACGGAGCCTCCGGCTGGAGCTAGCTGAGAACTGAGTTCTCATTTGTCATTTCTGCCGTGTCAATTCTAAATGGCAGGGCAGTGAACTCATAGAGAACCTGAAAATTTATTCCTGCTATATAAGAACTGACGCTTATGTATGGATTTGTCTGATACGTTTATGTAGCACTTGCCAAAGCTGGTTTTGCTTAAAAAAAAATACGCGGGACTCTATCGTCTATATTCATGTTCGGTTCTCGCATTTTTCCCAGCATTCCACTGTTCCAGAGAAATTGAAGGCTCCAGATTCCCGGCTAGGTCAGGGTCCGTGTCTAAAGCGTCGGCCGGGGTTTCTCTTCGGCCGCAACTTGGGCCTAGGGTGGCCACAGCTGCGCAGCAAAAACCCGCAGCCTGCTGGCTGCCGAACGCGGTCACACCGAACGTGAAATCAGACCCGAGCTGGGGTCAACGAATTGAGTGAGATGATGAGAAACCGAGGCCAAAATCCTTGTATCGCTACCATGCTGGCTTAGGCGTGTCTAAGCTTACGTATACAACCGCGATAGTTGTGAATAAGAACAAAAAGCAGTGATCGAGGACGAGAAAGTAAAGGCTGCGACCGCCGACCGGCTAGAGTGTTTAGTGCTAGCCCGCCAGAATCAATGTTTGTACAGCTCTCAATGGCCAGTAATGACGGGGTCAAAACGAAGCATTCCTCATGAGAAACAAGCCTCGACAAACAGTCGTCACAATTCAGTAAGCCTGCGTGGCTGGCCGGCCGTTGTCGCCCACAAAAACACCCACTGTTGCGCTGGTCGAACTGACACACTCCCTCGTTGAACCCCCACTGGTGATTGACCCATTTCCATTCAACCGAAGCCACCGCGCCCTGGTCGTCTGCGCAGTCCGTAAAACCGGCATCGTTGTCTCGGCCTTTGTGTCCACCACCAAACCCGTTACGAGTTCAGAGCGTTTCCGGGCACGGCCTCGCGCGCGGCGATCGGAGAGGGAAAGTAATGGAAAAACCTGCAGAGACAACGGGCTGTTCGGTTGTGTGAGCGGCGACAACTGGCTTTGCTGCCAGTCGATCTTGGGAACGATTCCCATTTCCAGGGTGGTTGGGGGTCCCGGCAGTACCACTGGAACGAAACACTTTGTATGCTGCATCCTTCTAGGAGTTTCAAAATCTGCCACAATTCCGCCGATCTGGAATCGATTGTCAAGTAACTCTTGCATGAAATTACGTTCAGGAAAAGCGACCAACTGATCCTTCCAGTTCATTTGGATTGTGTAACTCTCGTTGGGGAAACCGGTGAATCCTGTTTCTGAGCAACATTGCAAAAGTGCTCTAAATAAACGAGCTTCTCACTTTCAGCCAACTAAAGACAGTTTTATGGCATTGTCTTGTGCTCGCTTCTTTTCCACATTGCTTGTCTTACAGCCTGCCTCTGGGTACGTCTTATCCCGTCTTATCCCGTCCGTCCCATCCCATCCTCACTTCCCGTCCCGTCCCGTTCCATCCCGTCCCGTCCCGTCCCATCCCGTCCTGTCTCATCCTATCCCATCCAGTCACATCCTATCCCGTCCCGTCCCGTCCAATCCTATCCCGTCCCGTCCCGTCCAATCCTATTCCGTCCCGTCCCGTCCCGTCCCGTCCCGCCTGTCCCGCCCGTCCCTTGTCCGTCCCGTGTCCTCCCGTCCCGTCCCGTCCCGAGTCCGCCCTGCCGATACTCTGCTCGCCTCGCCTGGCCCCAAGTCTGGCTGCGCGGTTTCGGACCGTTCGGGTTGAGCTCCCATCAGAGCCAGTGGGTCAGTGGCCGCTGAGCTAGGCCTGCCGCGCGCCACAGCTGGGGAGGAACCGGCCCCGCTGATGGTAACGGTGGTCCAGATAGCCAGTCGCTTCTACATAAACCCTGTCTGCTATTAGGGCGTTTCCAGGGTAAAACGGGACCTGCTAGAAACGCAAAGAGCTTGAAGGATGTATGTAAGGAAAATGGTAAAGCTACGGAAAATAATGCATGCACATAGTTCAACAAACGATGTCTTTTAACCCTCGCCCGCACATGCCATTTTCCCATCCTAGAACGCACATGGGGGGTGGTTGCCACCCCCTCCCGCGCCTTTTCACTCCTGTTGGAGATACTCGTAGAGCTTCGCGGTGAGACCAAAAAGATTCTTTGGGAAAATACGAATCCAATGATAACCATTTTTACCTTCTTAGGTCCGTCATTAACCTTCCAGGTCAGGTCAAACTAAAAAATGTTGCTGTTTTGGGTCACCGTTGGATATCAAGTGCGCTGCTTATCATATACCGATGACGGTGCCGTTTTCTGGTGCCAAGCCAGCTAGAACCTCTTTGTCACAATACCCGACCAGGTTTTTGCTGCTGAGGTCATTTCAGGTCAAGTTAGGTCAAGGTCAATGATATGTGTTTGTATGTCTGTGTGTGTCTGTGTGTATACTGATGTGTGCACCGATTGTTTATGTGTCCATATTACACGAAGTCATGATCTGAGAAGCTCTTACCAAAAATTGTTTTATACGGATGACTTTGCCTATTAGTGGGAGGCCTTATCCCGTTGGCAATATACTGAATAAACAAACAAACAAACAAACAAAATGCAGTCAAAAAACTTGACGAAAAGTAAATTCAGCTTGCCTAAAACGCAATTATTTTAGATGACCTAGGTTGACCTTGACCCTGACCTTGACATCTGTACATTGTCGAACAACATGTTCCATGATAGGTTTGGAGGTAAGACTGGCAAAAAAGGTCGAAATCAAGGTGTCAAAAGCTCACAAGGCCCATAGCCAACGCAAGATGTTGAGAATTGGTCATTTGGGTCATGACATGACCTGAAAAACAAGGTCATATCTCCGAAACCAAAAACCGCAGAAACTTGAAATTTTCAGTGGACATCAAGAAAGGATAGAGCAGCAGCTATACGAAAAATCAGGCTTCTAGCTCTAAAAATGTTGAGTGCAGACTCCTGGGGGGGGGGGTGTGGCAACCCCCCCATGTGCGGGCGAGGGTTAAATAGTGTAGTCAATCAAATTTGACGGTGATAAGTGCAATTTTTTCACATTCATCACGATGTTTCCAAAGTGCTGATAGAAATTATGATGAGGCAAACAATGTCAATCCAATAATCGTGTACCTATATGTATTTCTTTTTATTCATTGATAGTGCATGAAACACCTCGGGATAATTGACTGAGTCGTTTTTTTCGCTTGTTGGTAGCTCACAGCCAAGGATAATGAACGGTAAACAGCTACCAAACAATTCACTTCCCGTTGTACCGATGATTATCGGTAAAAAACATCTTAATGAGTTTGGTAAGTAAAAA